TTCCTCAGGATGAAAATTTATACTGCTTAGTGATCAGAATGCTGGGTGGGTTTGCTTGAGAATTGAGCCCAGGACCTGTGCCTGCCAGGCAAGCGCTCTACCATCCAGGTGTACCAGCCCTCTTTTTACTTGTTGTTTGGAGACACATGGTCTGGCTAAATTGTCTCTGGTGGCTTGGAACTTACCCTTAGTCTTGAAGTGGCTTTGGACCCAGTAATCTCCCTGTCTCAGCTTCCCGGAAACCTGGAATTGCAGCCTTTCCACTGGGGTAGGGTGCAGAATGGTGTTTCTGAAGGCCATAGCCTCAGGACCTGTAGTTTCCTTGTGATGGTAGAAAATGTCTTGAAAACAAGACTGGGATCTTCATAGAAAGTCAGCTGCTATGTGTGCCCTATTGCTGAGGAGAAACTCTGCATGAAAGAAGAGGCTGGCTTTGCAGTCTGACACTTATTGATTATTTCTGAGTCTTGGTTCTCTCCATTGGTAGAATAGAATTTATGTAGTATCATGTAGGGTTGTTGTAAGGAATAGAGGTAATTCATACAAAGTTTTAAAAGTTTCAAAGCCAGAGACTATTGTGGGCAGTCATTAAATGGTAATGTTTTGGCCAGAGCAATAGTTTAGTAGGTAAGGGTAAAGTTGGATGAGCTGAGTTGATCCCTGGGACTCACATGGTAGATAGAAGGAAAGAACCAACTGCAAATTGCACTCTGCCTTTCACATGTGGGCCATGGCGCTTGTTCAGGTGTAATTTTTTGAAATGACAAAGTGTTATTTCTACTTTGGAAGAACTGTTGGGTAAGGTGTGTAATGCTGTTTTTAATGTAATTGAATACTACTTGCAGAAAATACCAGCAGTGCATTAGATTCTAGTGGCATTTGGCAGTTCTCAGGTCTTGCATTTTGGCTTGGGTACATTGTGGTGGGATCAGTGGAGCTTCCTTCAATTCCTTTGCCACATAGCCACACCATTTTGCCATAGTAATGAGGTTTAAACAGAGACATAAATCAAAATTATTCAAAGAACCTACAAAAGTGTTGCTAAAGCCCATGGACCTCCAGTAAGAACTCTTCTTATTAAAGATTCTTAAATAACTAATTTGATGATAAGTAGTACTTAGCCTAGAGGTGTATATATAATGTCCTCACACTTCACACGATGCTACATGGCCACACTACAGTCACATTGTATGTGAACAGTCTCACATACTGTCTCTGGGGCCAAGCAGAGGGACTACAGTGTTTTCTCAAGGCCAGTGCACAGGACACAATCCTAGAACACTGCCTTTCAAGTGGGCAGGGTGATTTTACTCTCCCCTTCTCTGGACAAGTGACAATTTGGAGACAGTTTTGATGATCACATTGCCATGTATCAGGTGTAGGTAGAGGTCTGGAATGCCTCTTATGTCTTATAATGCAGCTGCCATAACAAGAAATTTTCTGTCCCTAAATACCATTAGTGCCCAGGCCAAGCTGCTGCTTCCTGAATGGTAGTTTTTGGTGATGGGTTCAGAATAGGAGGGTTGAAATGTTTACTTCTTTGCAATGTTGTGCTCCTGGCAGATAGGTGCATAAGATTGGAAGTGATTACAAGCAGGTAGAAGTGAGGGAGTCAGGTGGATGGATGTTCAGCCTTTCAGATTGGCTGACCCCCTGGTTTCACCTGAGAATTTGGATGTGCATAACTAACCTTGGCTGCACCTGAACCCTAGAGTCTGTGGGTGTTTGCCTGTTGCCTTTAAGAAGTAAAACTCAGGTGTGTGTGTGTGTGTGTGTGTGTGTGTGTGTGTGTGTGTGTGTGTGTGGGGGGGTGTGGGTGGGGGTGTGGTGTGTAGGGGTTGGTTTTGGGGGGGGGTGTTTGTGTTCTACACAAAAAAAAGCCGCTCTCTAAGAGAAGTTTCCATTGTTGCCATCACTTACCCCACAACCCAATTTAGCAGATTGAGAAAGGGAATGGAGAAGTGGCTTCTGCTTGTGATCCTCAGAGTGCCCCTTTCCTTTGTGCTAGAGCTGTTTATTGAAGTGGGAGGACTCAGACTGTCCCATAGTCCAGTCCATATGCTGGGCTATCATTAGCACATAGTACTACTTACTGTTCATGTACAACTAGCTCGAGGAAGGAGTGGTAACCCGAGCTGGTCTTACAGAATGTATGGTAGTCTGGAATGTGTGGTACCTCATGTGCATAGACAGCCTTTCTCAAACCCAGGATCCAGGTCCTTTTCCACTTGTCATCTCTCATACCCTGTAGGGTTAAATACCATGTAGAAATGATTCACTGGGTCCGGGGGTCAGGTACTTCCTAGCAAATGAGGGCCCAATTTTGAGCTGTAGTCATGAAAACCAGCCACATCAGTGTAGCTTGAGGGCTGTCCTCTGTAGTTTTTCTCAAGTATCTATAAGAGAAGCTAAGAAAATATGTTAGAGGGGAACTAGTCTGGCCCTCAGATGGTTTCACTGATTTGTAATTGGTTAGTGTCTGTATTCCAGCCTGAAGATAATACTTGACATTTCTTCACAAGAGCTGTCTCCCTCTCAGCTATTTTAAATAATGCTATTTTAAACAGATGAATGAAAACTTCTCACTGAAATGATGGCTGTTACTGGTGTAGTCTGCAGGACTCCTGATGGTTTTTGCTTTTTCCTTGAGTGAAGAAAAACATCATGGTGTGTCTTAGTTGGATTTCTATTGCTGTGAAGAGACACCATGACCACAGCAACTCTTTTTTTTTTAAGATTTTATTTATTTATTATGTATACAACATTCTGCTTCCATGTATATCTGCATGCCAGAAGAGGGCACCAGATCTCATAACGATGGTTGTTAGCCATCATGTGGTTGCAGGGACTTGAACTCAGGACCTCTGGAAGAGCAGCCCATGCTCTTAACCTCTGAGCCATCTCTCCAGCCCCAACCACAGCAACTCTTAAAAAGGAGAACATTTAATTGGGGCTGACTTAAGGTTTGGAGATTTAGTTCATTATTATCATTCATGGTGGCATACAGGCAGACATGATTTTGGAGAAGGAGCTGAGAGAGTTCCACATCCTCAGGCAGCAGGAGACACTAGGCCTGGCTTGAGCTTTTGAAACCCAAACCCATCTTCCCCCGGGACACACTTCTTCCTCCAAGGTCACACCTCCTAATAGTGCCACACTCTATGGGCCCATGGGTGCCAATTCAAAAAGATAGGTCAGAACTACACTTCGTAACTGCTGTACTCAGTAACCAAGACACTGAATTCCAGAAAGTTTAAGCTTAAAATGTAACACAGGCCTTGAATTAGGAGAGATCCCCCTGTCTCCCGAGTGCTGGGATTAAAGGTGTGCAGCACAGCCCTCATCTCCTTGCCATTCTTGGCTGCTGTTGATATGACAGATCACTGTGTAACATCACACTCAGGGATGAGGTACTGAATCACATTGTCATTTTTTCTATTTATCTAAGGAAAACTGTTGGTTTTGTTACTCTCTAAGCCGTTCCAGGTAGTGACATAGGGAGACCTTCTTAAAGCATAGCATTTGTTTGCTTCTCCCTCTTGTGCTTCAGGATTGTCCACTGCTGCCACTGGTTTTGAACACCTGCCCCTTTCCCTCCCTAGCTCATTTCACCCGAACCACCATTGGCTTTGACATTCTGGGACTTTTAGATTTTATTGAGAAAGATTTTCCCTCTAGAGCCATTCTACTGTGCCCAGGTAACTGAAGTTGTAAACAAGTATGAAGATAACCTAGGGAAAGCAGAGTCCTCAATGCAGGGAAAGAGAACATCTCTGACCAGAGATTTTAGCACCAGGCACAGCACTCCTGGTCTCATCACACCCCGTGGCTCTGTTTGATGAGTGACTTCCCTTTCCCAAGGTCCCAGACTGAGTGACCAAGTCAACATTCTAGCTTCTTGCTTGGCTCTCCTTACTGTGTGCCACTGAGGTAGACAGCAGTGACTCATGTCCAGTGGTGACTCCAGTTGACTGTTGGGGGATTTCCCATTGGTCTTTTGGGAAGTACTCTGGGTGGGGCCTGAATATTTCAGGACTTAAAAGATAGAGGAAAAACGAGGAGGGTTTGAGAAAGAAGCTTACCCTAGAAGATGTAAACAGATCCCATAGTGTTGACAACTTTATAGATCTGTAATGAACCTCTTGGAAAACACTGCGGGACCGATGCTGGAGTTGTTTTGTGCTCCACTCTTAATTGTTCTAGGTTTGGGAAGGAACCTTAGAGAGCTAGCCCCTGGCTACTGGTGAGCTTTCACTCTTTTTAGAGCACAGCCCTCCCACTTCCTCCTCTCATTAGGGCTCCATTTAGCTGTTAGGTAGGAGCTTCAAAAGGGAAAACCCAATCATGTATAATCTCCAGTTAATGGGCATCTGTTGAGTCACTGGGTCACCAGAGGGGATAGTTACACAGTGCTTCTTTGTGTAAAAAAAAAAAAAAAAAAAAAAAAAAAAAAAAAAAAAAAGACAAGCCAGATTGTTAGTGACTAACGGCATCCTCCTGTTGAGGGAGAACATTGGGGCACCCCTCCATGCTTGTTGGGGGAGGGGAGGATGGCAAGGCCATTTCCCAAAACAGAGCTATGGCGGGAGAGGAGAGAGGAGGTGGGGCACTGGAAGGCCTTGTCACTCTTAATTGTTGGTGGATGGGATGCATTCCCGACAATAGTGTTCTAGGAGACATTGTGTGCAACCGCTAGGAACTTAATAGTCACCGAGTTTTCTGACATAGAATAATAATGCTGTTGGTGTACTCCAACCCCACCACACAAGTTAGCTGGTTTCCAGTCATGCCCAGCCTCCATGAGTGAAGACTGTATGCTTACTGTTGGTTTATGAAAGCTGAATATAGCTTCCTGACCCAGAATGGCATATGTTAGCCATAAAGCAGGGTTCTTGAGTTTGCATCCATCTACTCTAGTTTGAGATCTCAAAGTTTATGTCTTGTCATTTAGGTTTTGCAGAACTTGGCATAATTCAAATAACCTGTTTTTCCCCCTTCAGAACACTTCAGTTATGGAAGATCAAAATGAAGATGAGTCCCCAAAGAAAAGTGCTCTTTGGCAGGTAGGCACTATAAGCTAGCAGATTATTGTAGATAAGCTCTGCCCTTGATAGTGTCCTCACTGAGACCAGGGCCCAGCCTCTGCTTTGAGCAGGGTTGCTAGATCCAGAAGACACCCTACTTGCCTATCATTTCCTCAAGGAAGTGTTCTTATTAGTAGTAAATAACTTTGGAGTTTTTGAAAAGATTCCAAAAGGTCAGTATCCTAAAATACTGACTTTGTGGCCCATGATAGACCATATGGAAATCCTCCAGGAAACTTAGAGCTTTTTAGCTTAGAGCCAAGGGCAAACCTTATGCTGATCCTGTTCGGTGTTCACAAAGGCTATTTTTCTCTGTTTGCAACCCCCCCCCCCACGTTCCTATGGGTACTTTCCTATTTGATTTGATTTAATTTGATTTGATTTCATGTCTCTTCCTTTTCCTCCCAACCTCCCAGGATTTGTGGTGGGGATTTGTGGAACATGCAGACCTTCATAGTTTAGTGTTTTTATTATTTTATTTGGGTGATCATCTTCTCCTTTGTGAGGATATGAATAAAGGCACAACATATATAGATCAAAGCAAAAAAAAAAAAAAGTTAGCTGGACTCATTTGAGTAGGATACTCCCAAGGTAAGTTAGTTAGCTAGGGTAATATACACACAAATTTAAAATGAAGTGAAGTGAAAAAAGGTAACGTAAGCAGGGTTTGTCTGGGCCCACCCAGGGAGCTGGAAGTAGAAGCTGGAAAAGGTGCTCCTAAATGTGCATGTGCCTGTTTGCCTTTCATAGCATCCTTCATATGTAAAAGGACCACGAGTGACCCCCCCCCCTCCCACGTCTGCACGGCTATAGTTCTCTTCACTGTTGACCTTTCAGTTTTCAATGGCTCTCAACTCTTTAGCGTCCAGTTTTCTTCATCTGTCCACCTCCTAGTCAGTTACTTGGTGGGAAACTTGATGGTGAATGAAACAACAATCCTTTAACCTACCAAACGAGAAAGTAGATGCGAAAATACTGTGTGAGTTGTGAAGCAACACAGATGCAGATGCAGCCCTCTGCCATAATTCTGTTTAACCTGTTGGGAAAGCAGATGTTCTGGAAAATTGTCATCCAGATGTTGAGTAAAGGAGGAGAGAGTACATGAAGTCTGTAGGACTACTTCACCGTTGGTGTTCTACGAGCAGGCTTATTTTGTCTCGGTGTGCTCCCCTTTCCACGCATGATGGTGCCCCTGGCACTGTAACATGCTGCATCTGCTTACCATCCTGTCAGAAGCTGCCTTTCTTAATGCTGGCTGTAGTGGCCACACTGTAGCCCTTGTTTTGTGTGTTGTAATTTGCAATACCAGTTGTTTGCAATTAGGTAGTCACTTCTATTTTTTTCTCTTATAATGTTAGGATATTGTTATGCCTAAAATAACATAGACATTTCCTTTTATGCCTGTTGATATTTATCACAGCAAAGAAGTTTTACTTTGCTTCAAGTTCTGTTGAGTTGGTTAGATGGGAATGTCTTTGAAAAAGCAAAATATTTAAATGCCTGTTCAATGCTGCCCTCTGGTGGTAACAGGTGCCAATTGAATTATCCCTTGCTCTAGGAATTGGGGGTGGACCAGAGAGTTGAACATGATTGGTTAAAGTAAATTAAGTAGACGGTAAATGCTTTCTGACCTTGCCTCTAAATGTAGACATAAAGACTTAGTTGAGATACGATACTGAAAAGCTTTTTGTCAAGGAAGGCCAGAAATTTCCATTGAACATTTAGAGATTCTCTTCTTTCTTTGATGGGTTTAGTCTAGTTTAATTAGGGAACATACCATTAATAAAAACTCTTCATTCTGGCTGGGCAGTGGTGGCCCTTGCCTTTAATCCCAGCATTTGGGAGGTAGAGGCAGGTGGATCTCTATGAGTTCAAGGCCAGTCGGGTCTACAAAGCTACACAGAGAAATCCTGTCTGGAAAAACAAAAACAAACAAACAAAAAAAACCCCACAACAAAACAACAACAAAAACATCTTCATTCCACAGAAGACTTTGGAAACAAGTTGAAATGGAATTAATGGACATTTGCAATTCATCTCTTCAGGTCTGAAAAGTCTTTACTTGCTGTTAGTGTCTCCAATTAGGCTATCAGAGGGGCATTGAACAAATGGCCTGGCGAGTATATAACAAAAACACTTATGGTCAGGTAATGGCACACGCAGGAGGCAGAGGCAGGAGGATCTCTGTGAATTCGAGGCCAGCCTGTTCTCCAGAGTGAGTTCCAGGACATACAGGTCTACACAGAGAAACCCTGTCTCGAAAAACCAAACAAAACACTAGTGTGATACTACTTTTAAATAGAAGGTGTTGTGCTTCCCAGCATTAGTAGGTTTGTGGCTTTGAGTCTAGCAATATAGACTGTATTGTTATGGTGGTGTGGCAGGGTGTGTATGGTTGCATATATGTGAGTATGCAGATGAGTCTGGACAGAAGAGTATCTTTTGTTCTCAGCCTTACTACCTTGAGTCTCTTTCTGAACTGGAAGCTTGCATTTCCAGCTCTTCTGGCCAGTCGTTGCACTCTTGTCATCAGCCTGTTTACATGCCTTCATGCTAGTGTTACTGGCATGTGTAACCATGCCTGGATTTTTAATGAGGTCTGGGGTTTTGAACTCAGGGCCTCATGCTTGCGCAGCAAGTGCTTTTACCTGCTGAGCTGTCTCCCCAGCCTCTAGATTGTTGGATACTGTCATCCATATAGCTTTTTTCTTTTTCCCTTTTCTAGGGGAGTCGTGCTAGAATTGAACCCTCCCCCGGACTTTACCTTTGGTTTCAATTAAAAGCTTTAAATTAATTAATTAACAGACACACATTTTATAGTACAAGTATGGAAGCTACAGGACAACTCTGTGGCATCAATGATCTCTTTCTACTGTGTGGCTTCCTGAGACCAAACTCAGGCTGAGCTATCTCATTGGCTATCGGATTAGATGATGATGATGAGAAAGGCATTGCTGTAAGGAGTGCATTGATCATATAGAAACTGTCCAGGATGACTACTTTTCCAGGTATACAGGAGTTAACTTTGGACTATTTTCTGAAAAGTAGGACAAAGGAAGGGATGAAGTCTAAACTGTTTGGCCAACATTTATTAAACATGGGAGCTAATATGGAGGGGATCAACTATTAGGAGAAAATGGAGCATTACAGATTGACTGACTTTCAGGCCCTTCTTATATTGAGCTAGACTGGGGTTCTCAATGTGTTTCTCAAATGCATTGTGGTCTAGTGGATTCCGAAATACTTGGGAACTTGTTAGAAATACAGACTCTCAGGCTCTCTTCCAGACAGACAGAATTAGAGTCTGTGTTAATAGGCATCCAGATACTCTAACACTTGCACAGGGGGGAGAACCATTAGTATTGGTGTACAGTAGCCATCCCTGCTCCAATTATACTCAGTGCCTGTGGTTAGCTACAGTCTAAAAATGTTAAATGAAAAATTTTGGAAATGTGGTGGGGAGAATATATGTGCATATTCACATAATATTATATTATATTGTTTTAAGTATTCTATCATTGTTAATTTCTTACTATGCATAATTTATAAGCTCAACTTTATCATAAGTATGTATTTATGTATAGGCAGAAACATGTAGCATTTAGTATAATCCATGGGTCTAGACATCTAGCTGAGGTCTTGGAACATATCTTGAATATAAGAAAGACATTAGCTTTTAATTTAGGAAGTGAGACAGACTACTACGAGCCAACCAGATGCCAGCTTGCCAAGTTGGGCAGTTAGTTACTGTAAGATGGCCATCTCCAAAATGAGTTACCTAATGATGGGATGGTGTTGTAGTAAGCATTGGGGAATGGTGAGCCCAGACACCAGTCAGCTTTGGTAACAGCTGCAACTTTAATGGCTATGGTCATTAATTTGAGGATATACATAGGGCCTGAATACATTTTTAATTGTGTAATGAATGAATGAACAAAGAAATGAATTTGGTTTAAGTTAAAACTGGCATTTTAAGGTTAAGTCCATAGGACAAAGGGTATTTCTAATGAAATAGATTAAATGCCTTTCTAGCTAATTATTGCTTTTGTTTTTCCAAAACAGATAAGTAACGGAACATCATCTGTGATTGTCTCCAGAAAGAGGCCATCAGAGGGGAACTACCAGAAAGAAAAGGACTTGTGCAGTAAGTACATTGGCCAGTGGTCTCAAACAGATCAGGTGGAATTTGTGGAGCACCTTATCTCACGAATGTGTCATTATCAGCATGGACATATTAACTCTTACCTGAAGCCCATGTTGCAGCGGGACTTTATCACCGCCTTACCAGGTAATCATGCTTGTCCTGACAGTTGCTAGCCAGTGCCAGATGCCCAGTCCTCAAGCCTGGGAGAGCTGAGCGGAGAGCTGAGTGTGTGTTCATGAAGTGAATGGTGATTGACTGTACTGTGAGCCCTCATTTCTGGGGGCAGTCATTGTATTTGTAGTTAGTTTTGAATCCTTCCTTAAGTGCCATATATTAGGATCCAGTAGGTGTATTTATTTCTAAGAAATGAAGGCTATTCCTCTGATTGACCATGTGGCATATTAGTTAGTGCTGTTGCTTCTTTTACTTGCCTTTTGTTCTTAGATACACCTTTCTTTTGATTGTTTACATTTTGTACTTTACATGTAATTTTTAAAAATGGTGCTGGGCATGATAGCTCATGCCGGATTTCCTAACACCCAATAGACTAAGATGGGAGGATTATTTCAAGGTGAGCTAGGGAGAGGCACAGAAAAGACACACACACGTGCATGTGCACACATCCATCTGCTTTTCCTTAAGTTTGTGTCTTGGCAAGCCTCACAGAGTTGAGGCTGTTCACTTGTATCTGGAGGGTTAACTTAGGAAGTGGCCAAAACACTGAGAAAATGGTAGTGTATTTTTGTTATGTTTCTTTTTCTTTTCTTTCTTTCCCTTTTGGTTTTTCAAGACAGGGTTTCTCTGTACCTTTGGAGCCTGTCCTGGCACTTGCTCTGTAGACATGGATGGCTTCGAACTCAGAGATCTACCTGTTTTTTCCTTCCAAGTGCTGGGATTAAAGGCATGTGCCACCATTGCCGGTTTCTTTTTCATTTCTCTCAGCTTTTTGTTTTGTTTTGTTTTGTTTTTTTTGTTTTAATTTAGATTTATTTTATGTGTATGAGTGTATATCTGTTAACCATGTGTGCGTCTTGTGCCCATGGAGGTCAGCAGAATGTTGGGTACCCTGGAATTGGAGTTAGAGGTGGTTGTGAACCACCGTGTGGGTGCTGGGAATGGAACCTGAGTCCTCTTATTAAAGAGAAGCAAGTGCTCTTAACCACTCTAGCTCTGTTGCATTTCTTGAAACTTGCTTCTCTATCCATTCATTCCTCATTGCTACCCCACAACCCCTCACTCATGTATGTACAGTCAGGGGTACATTTTTCGATTGTTTTTTTAGCTTTGTATTTATAACATTTTTAGTTCTGAACAAAATCCAGTGAAAAGTACAGAACTCTTGTGCTCCTGCCTGTGCCCACAGGCACACCGCCTGCACTGTAGTTAGTGCCTGCTGCATTTGTGTTCATGGGTGAACTTACTGATACATTGTCATTCCCAAATCCATATTAGACATTGGGATTTGCTGTTGGATAACATCTCATGGGTCTGGGCAATACGTAAATCTGTACCCACCACTCTGGCTTAAGGTAATTTCATTCTGCTTTGGATTTTGACAACTTTTTCTTTCTTATTTTGACTAGGTAAGATGTAGAGCTCAGACTCCTACAGGGAATGCTGGCTCTCCTGTGACACAGTATAGTGTGCTTATTGCCACTATGTCAGTGCAGGCCTTGGAACTCCCAAGATGGGGGCACCAACCTGCCGCAGGGGCAGCAGACTTCAGCTGTCAGTGCTCTCATGGCACACAGGATTTGAGCTGGGGTTCTAGGCCTGGAACTTAGGCTACAAAATGACAGAGAAGCTTCTGATTTCTTTGTGCTCTTCCAGAGTTTGTGTGTTTATTTTCTACACTAGGTGTGTAAAGAATTTTTGAAAGTTAAGCTGAGAAAGGCTTGATTCTGTTGTTCTTATGATGCCAGAAGGCTGTCCTGTCTTCCATCAGTTGTTTTCTGTTAGTGTCTCTAGAAACGCAAATAGGAACCTTTTCCATTCAGAATTGTATCACTTAGTTGCTTAGTTCAATTTCTCATTAGGCAAATTAGAATGACAAGAATCAGAAAACTTGGGTGAAATGCCTTTTGGTCACATGGCTTGTTTGACATGTGCTTTTGTAAAATGATGGTGGGCAGGCATTGGTTCAAAGTTAGTACAAATTCTTAACTTAGCCCTGAGTATTAAATAAATGGATCATAATTGTCTTAGTTAGCTAATTGCTGTGATCAAGCACCATGATCAAGAGCGACTTGGAAAGGAAAGGGTTGATTTCAGCTTAAAGTCCTCCATTGAGAAAAGCCAGGGAAGGAACTGAAGGGGAGACCATGAAGGAATCTTGCTAGCTGGCTTGCTCCTCTGGCACACTGTTTGCTTTCTTATATAACTCTAGCCCCTGCCAGGCTGTCCAAAACAAAAACAAAACAAAACCCAACCAGGACAATAACTCAATAAAATTCACTTTTAATTATGGAGAATGAGAGGAAGGGCCTTTCACTATGTGAGAGAGAACGGTATAGGTGAATGGATTCTTGTGTGTACCTTCTCTGTACATAGTACAGCATTTTTATCACCAAAACTCCAGAGTCTTGGTCATTGAGCTGCTCAATGAGGAAAGTTCAGGGACGTTTTTTTCAATTTGATGATTGTATTGCTCCTCATCAGTGACTGCTAACTAATGAGGCCAAGCCTTTGTTCTCTTAAGGAATTCTTTTTATTGTTTGTTTTCTGTTTTAGTTTTATTTTTTTCTTTTTGCTTTCCAAGTGGTTTAGATGTGTGTGATTGCCCCATATGTTTACAGAATAGCCACAAGGTGGCACTGTTGAAGTTCCCCTGATACCTTCAAGCAGCTCCTTCTGGGGAGTGCACAGCCTTGGAGAAGAGGCAGAACAGATGAACATGTGTTATGTATATAAATATGGTTAGTATAATTGCATACAATTCAGTTTTCATTACAGCAAATTTTAAGGCATTGTCCATATCTCTGTTACAGTGGAATTTTGTGGTATTGAATGTTATATGAAATGAATGGACTGTTTGCTGGGACATGGAAATATTTCTGTTAAAATGCTATTTGTTTTAACAGGATTTTATCTGAACACATATACATATGTCAGTGTATTTCATACATGAGAATCTAATAGCTGAGGACAAGCTGGCCCAGTTGATTGTGTTTGTGGCTAGTAGACTTGGATTAAACCTGGCATTAGTTCTTATCCCAGACCTGTGCTGTAGAGCATTATAGGAAAGACAGGTCTATGCACTTAGGTAGGTTTAATAAGATGCAGAACCCCTTTAATCATTCTACTAGTTCAGTGTCCAGTCTTTTCAGTAAGTACCTTGAGTTTGAATTTTTACTGTTAAGATTGACAACCACTTTAAACGTTTGAATGTGAAAAACATTAGTTCTAAAATATTGTCTATAGTTTGGTTTTTTTTTTTAATTGCTTACTGTGAACATTGTACCTGTCAGTATAGGAAAAAATGGAAAATGTTTGTGGTTTTTGGCTTCTTTTGGTTCAGTGGAAAAAGTGATAATTATGATACGCTTTTCTAAAAATCATGGTAAATGTTTAGTCTGCAATGTCAATTTCTGCAGGCTAAGTTTGTGGTTTGTAAGAACTGTTGTTAAAGGGGAAATTTATACCATTTAAAATAGAGGCAGATTGTACTTCAAAGGGGATGATAAGTCTTGCTGATCAGTTTTCTGAGGTATCTGTGCAATTAAAAATGTTGAAACACTTAGCTTCCTGACTATGGTTTATTCATTTGTCTAGCCCCCAAGACAGCCATTATAGACTGTAAATGTGATAGACTAGATCAAAAGTTACAAGAGAAAGGCAGGAATGAGCTAAGACTTGGGGTTGCATGCAGGGCCAAAGACCCAGCTTCACAGAGTGGAGATCCAGTGTGAGTGTTGGAGTTAGATCCCCCTAGGCTTCAGACTCAGACTCTGCACATAATAGCCTCATCTTCATCTGTGTGGGGTGAGGATTAAGGCAGTGTGTGTGTCATATGCTTGGCACCTGGTGGATGCTGCCATGTAGGTGTTTCCACTGTCATTTGGCTTTTCTGGATAGTGTCATCGGAAGCCTTGGGTTTGTGACCCATGTTTCTTTTCTCTTCCTTTATAGCCCTTAAGCCACCTGTTCCCAGGAAAGACTTGAACACAGTGGTTGTAGGTTGTTGTCTTGTTTTAAAGGGTTTCTGACTTCAGATTTTATAACCAGAGCTATGACTATCGAAGAAGCAAGGCGCAGCAGAGGCAGGGAAGAAAAAGAAACCCCCCCCCCCCCCCAGCTAGCTGTTCTTTGAGGTTTCTAAAGTAATGGATATTTTTGTATGATCTAAGCATCTGTGTGAAACTGGCCCTCATCAAGGGTTTTGAACTGACATCACACATTGGAAGTTCATTTTAATATGGTGGTTTTTACACTTTGAATTTGAAATCAGTACCTTTTCCTTCTTGGAATTTGTTGTCAAACACCCAGATTCTCCCATGGTGCCTTTAATTAGCATTAGCAGCAGCACTTCCAGGATTGTGCATGCAGTATCAGGCTGCATTCTGAGGCCATGCTGGGTCTTCATGTTGTAGGAGGAGCTCACTCAGCATGATAGAGTAATAAGAGCCAGACACACTTTTTTAGGAAAGTACTTAGTTCAATAACCGAAGAAGCATTTCATTCAGCCCCAGCTAAAAGATTGCCTTGTGTTTGTTCGGAGGCCTCCTTTTCCTTAGTCGGCTTGAAACTAGAAAGTTGCAAGATTTGTATGGCTCTTCAGTGTAACTACGAAGAATCTTCTCTTCAGTGGATCTAGGTGCCCAAATAGAGCATTTGATTCCCATTTCTCTCAAAACATTTTGGGGATATACTTATAGAATGGAAGTATATACTCATACTAATAGAATGGAAGCTGCAGCTGTGTTTTCTTTGCAGACAAAGACTGTGATAGCCTCTTTGAGATGGGGGGGGCAACTGAGAACATTTATTGAGTATCTGTTACATGTTTGGTGCTTTATGACTCTTATGTTATTAACCTTCCCAGTGGACTTGAGATTCCTTCCCTATAAAATGTGGGTATTCAGAGTGATTATCTTGGGGCGTTACTTTGCAGATTATATGAGCTAACTCCTTTCAGCACTTAAGATTGTTCCTGTTTTATGGACTGATGATCTCCAAAAAGGACAATAGATTTGCTTATGGCCATTCACTGAGTTATTTGCTTTAACAGCGGTTGCGTTTTCCATAAGACTAAAGCAAGCTGCCTCCTGCAAGGATGATGGGAATTTAAAGTAGTCACCAAAGGAAAGGAGCCTAACCTTAGGTGTCACCAGGACATTGTTTAAATGAGCTGATAGCATTTTAAAGAGGAAATATGTAAGGGATTTGCTTATGCAAAAACTTACTGGTAGCTTAGCTGTGAGGAATCAGTGAGGAGAAAAGATCCAAGATTACATGGGTGCCCTTGCTATAAACCAATAGTCTCCAAATTGTCAGAATCAGTGGCACTTCCAAGAGAATGGATCCCCAGACTGCCTTCTCTAGAGGTTGATTCAGTACAAGTCCTAGGGATCTGTTTTTGTTACTGTGTTTTTGAAAGTCAGTGACCCTAATTGATTCCAATCCAACACATGGCTTTAGCATCTCATGGTTGCAGGCTCTGGTTTGTTAGTGACCTGGAAGTTCTGTTCTCCTGATGGGAACCGTGCCCTTGAGACCTGGAAAGACAGATTTCTTTCTAATGCATTCTTGCCTTGCTATTTGTTTCATCTCTCCAAGAACAGAGGATTCGAAAGGGGAATTGGTTAGGGCATGTGTATATAACCAATTAGTAGGATCTATTTAGTGATGTGAAATTCATGGGAGCCATGTAAAGTGAACTGTTGATACCCTGTGTAGGAGTTAGAGGAGGAAGTCCAGCGAGCCCCAGAAGAGCTAAGTCCAAAGAAGAGCTAAGTGTGTTACTTTATGGTTAGAGAAATGTGATTAAGCATGATTTTAATGTGAGTATAGTGGGATATAGATTCAGTTTATGACAGCCGAGAAATTCTAGAATTTAAATCACTGTGCCTGTGTGCCTGTGACTACATACACATAGAAGATAATAGGAGAGGGACATGTGAGCACACATGGTTTACCCAAGGTGTTTGATCTTTGGAGAATGGTATCTAGAACACTGAGTTCCACATCAGGAGAGAGAGCGGGGAGGGAGAAAGAGGGGGAGGGGAGATTGAAGACAGAGCATCCAGCCATCTTGGGGGAAGTTACAAGAAATGAAAGGGGTACTGTGCTTGAAGTCCATGGCATAATGGTAAATAGAAAAAGGTCTGTTTTTACTCTTGTTTAACTTAGTTCTTTTCTGTCCCTGAGAATAATGCCCTTAAGCAATAAAGGAAAGATAAAATTGTGACCAAGCAAGACATGAATTTATTTAGAAATCCTGCAAGCAAGTTTATGGGACAGTGATGGAGTTTGGGACTGATGATCAGAACTGGGGAGTGAGTGCATTGGTGCAGTTGGGCTCATAGTCTTGCCTGATGGTGCCCAGAGGAGATGTGGGATGTGGAACAGATCTCCAGGTTTTAAGAGTGGGGAAGTGTTGTAAGATTTCGCCTGTTGGCATCTGAAAAGATTAGGTAGGATGTGTAAACCTCAAAGGGTGAATGTAGGATATAAGATCTCTTGGATATGGGGTTTAGAACTAACAGTTAATTTGTGTATGTGTGTTTTGTCGTTTTTCTCCACTGAGAATGGGTTGTATATGGTAAGAAGGAACCCAAAGCAACTGGTGCCAACCTGCACATGAAAGGTTGCAAACCTAGTAAGTACCATCAAGAGTGTGAGCAAGTAGTCAGATTCGACTGGTTCCTTTTCTGCCTGCTCTTACCAGATAAAGACCAGAAGAATAATCTAAAGATGGCAGTGTCTTCATGAGAACTTCTCCAGATGTCCCCGAGGACTGAATTGAACAGATTTAGACTGGGCATATTTTGATAACTTAGAGAACTGGTGGCTGAGTGTTAGGACCCTTGAGTATTATTACCGAATTCATCAGTAATAGCCACTGTCTTGGGTGCTGTCCTTGGTTCTGACCCATTTCATATGTTTGTTATCAGTTGGGGGTAAAGACAATCTGTTTGCTTATTATGCTGGTTTACTGAGGAATAATCCGATTTCTGGATTCTAGAAACCAAAATTCTAGAGACTGAAGTAGCTGGTTTACATGGAACTTTTGATGGTTAATTATGGCGAGGATAAGCATGAAGTGTTGCTGGCCCCATCCCACCAGTGGTCAAATACAGAAATAAGGGTAATTGTTTTAATAGCAACTGGGGAGAAGGGGGTAAGATTTGAACGTGCAGGAATCTTCTGTGATATGGCCATTAGGGGAAGGAGGTCAGTCTTTGATTATGTGACTCTAAGGTAATTTCGGCATACAGGATAGCAGTGGTGCCATGTAGCCTTCATTATCAGGGGGTGGAGCTTGGGGCTTAGATCTAGTCCAGGATAGAATTATTATATGAAGGGCCTGAAAACTTGTCATTGGCAGTGTAGCCATGCCATTCAGAGACATGCAAGCAACCTCAGTTTGTATAGTAACCCTTCTCCATCCTTCCTCCATCTAAACTATGCCCATACTCTATGCAGATAAGGGAACTGAGGCAATGAAAGGCCAGTGTTCCACCTGTCCCTGGCTGTTAACACTAAGCTTAGTGCTGCTGAGCTTGAAAAAGAGAACATCACCCTCAGGGAATGCTGTCTTGCTCTGAAATCTTTTCATCAGTCTGCTTTCAGATATTGTGCTAAGGGCGGCTGCCAGCACTTACTGCAAAACCAAGGCACAAGGATGTTTCAGGGTTTGGTTTGTGAATAGCACAGTATACACATGGTACACAGTGATCTTAGGACATGAAATTCGAATGTTGCAGGCTTGGGGATGAATTGTGCTTCCTGTAGCTACAGGGACACACCTAGAACTAAAAGAAGATATATAACAGGTGGTAACAGTGCTATGCATGGTGATCTCCGTGATAAAGTTCAGACAGAGCTGACTCTTGCATGGATTTCTTTGCAAGGATCCTTGTGTTGTGTGAGTTTATCTTAAATTTCTGGTGTGTGTGTGTGTGTGTGTGTGTGTGTGTGTGTGTGTGTGTATGTGTGTGTGTGTGTGTGTTTGTGTGTATACAAACGTACGTGTACACATACCACAGCACTCCTGTGTGGCAGAGGACAACTTTTGGGAGTTGGTTATCTCCTTCTACTGTGGGTTCCTCAGGTCAACAGACTCAACGGGCTCTCATGGCTGACCTTTCTGTGGGTTGTTTAACTCAGTCCAAAGTTCTAAAGTGAGAAACAAATACCTGTTGCTTCTGGGGGTTCTTACCCTTCTGTTCAGAACAGAAAGATCTCCATCAGAGGGAGATGGCAAGATTGACACCAACACTTTTAATTTTTCAAATTAAAGAATGGTCCAGTCTCACCTTTTGGCCCCTGTAGCTATCAAGGATTCATGGAGGAGTGTGGTTTATTGCAAAAGACAGTGAAGATAAGCAACAAGCACAGGTTTTGAAGCAAGAAGTCTTTAGTTCTTATCTTTGCTTCACTACATAGCACAGCCTGAGATCTGTCCTTGTTCCTCAGCTGTAACTTTGGAGAATCATTGGCATGTGAGGGATTAGCAGGAAAATGGGGAAGGGGGGAAAAAGTCTCAAAATTCCGAGAAAGACAGAACTGGCCAGGGTAGCTTTTACACCAAGAGCAGCTGCTGTCAGCCGCACCTGGGTCACCCCCCTCCTCCCCCAACTTTTGTTATCTTTTGAGCTGCACCTGTTTATGAGCTTTTCCATGTCCTGCTTTTGGTTGTTTCACCTGCCTCAGGCTTTCCTCATTCCTTACTTCAGGCCTGTGTTCTCTGCCCTACCCATTCTTTTCATTGCTTCTCTGTTTTGTAGAACAAGGCTTAGATCACATAGCAGAAAACATCCTTTCCTACCTGGATGCCAGGTCTCTGTGTGCAGCAGAGCTGGTGTGTAAAGAATGGCAGCGAGTGATCTCAGAAGGGATGCTGTGGAAGAAGCTGATTGAGAGGATGGTGCGCACTGACCCTCTGTGGAAGGGCCTCTCAGAAAGAAGAGGGTGGTGAGTATTGGGGTGCTTGTTTGGAAAAAGTTCCCCCGGTGTACAGTATAGTCAGCTTGATTACTCAAGGCAATTCTGTGAATGTGTCAGTCTGTTTAGAAAAGGAGTGAAAATATTAGTCAAGGCTGGTCAAAGCTGTTAGAATTCCTCCTTCTGACATGTATGCATTGTTATTATAAAGTTTTCAATAACTCTCATGGGTGATTCATTCATCTCTTTAAACACAGCTTTTTCAAAACTTAAGCAATGATTCCATCACAAAAAAGATAAGAAAAGAGAATATGAGAGTTTCGGCTGGAGAGAAGGCTCCGTAGTTGGTAACCCTCGATGCTCATTCAGAGGACCTTGGTCCAGTTCCCAGCACCTACTTGGCAGCTCACAGCTGTCTGGTTCTCCAATTCCAGAGGATTTGATGCCCTCTTCTGGTCTCCATGGTCAAGAGGCACACATGTGGTGCACAGACATACATGCAAGCAAAACCCCCACACATAAAACAATTATTAAAGGAAAATAGCAGAGTCAAATAACTGTATTTGCTTTTGTAATTGCTGGGGATTAAACCTGGGGGCTCATTCACGGTAGGCAGCTGCATTCACCACTGAGCTGTACCACCAGCCTGAGTTATTTTATGTCATTTCACTATTTATTACTGCTCATGGGGAAGAATGGAAACACAGCCATAGGGTTTTTCAAGAAAGTCTGTGGGCTTAAGTGCAGCTTGATAGCTTTGTGTATTATCAGTGCCCTGGCTCAGTCAGATACAGACAAGAAGAACAGGACTGGGAAGAGTGAGAGTGGAGCTGTGCTTCCTTTATGGGAGGAAGTTTAATGTGGAATACTACTTTTCCTAAGCTTCGTTAGTACTTATTATGCATGAGGGTACAGGATAGCATGTGGAAGAGAAAACAAGGAAAGCCAAGTTTTAGGAAACGAGGAAGGACTGGACATTAGTTTCCTTGATTCTAACTCTGGTATGGAGTTTTCATTTTTTGTAGTGGATAAGAGCATAAAATATATTTGATAGTGAAAGTGTAAAATCCAGGGTGAAAGCTCACAGCTTCAGAATGGGTATTGTAATTTTTTAGGATCTCATTAAGATGTATGTATAGACTTTGCAACTGGTTGGTTTCAGTATGTCCTGTTTTTTATTTGCAAATTTTTACGAATAAGGGTTATAGGGGGAGGGAAAACAGCCCTAGACTGAAAGCTTAATTATTTGTGTGACGGTACTCAAAAAACAAAAGACCAGCATCATGCCAGAACTAAATTGTCTCTACCATGGAAACTGCAGTTTGTCAGGAATCCTACTTTTGAACTGTTAACATTCAGTGAAAGGGAAGACATGAAACATGGGCTGTCCTTGTAAGCATGCTTAAATAAAATCTGTTCTTTTATGTGCAAAAATGTAACATCTGTTTGTTTTCCTTGCTAGGGATCAGTACCTGTTTAAAAACAGACCTACAGATGGCCCTCCCAATTCATTTTATAGATCATTGTACCCAAAGATTATCCAGGACATAGAGGTAACCGTTTCACTTCATTGTTTTGCACTCTCTGGGGTCTTGTTCTCAACTTTTCATGTTGTTTTAAAGGTCCTTTTGTTCTAAACTCATGAAACTTGTACTTTGTTTTTTAAATAAGTTGAGCTTTGGAAATAAATGTCATAGTATGTAATCTGTGGCTCCTCTTCAGAGCTGATCATGCCTTTTTATAGAAATGCAACTTCTCAAAAACACGAAATGCTTTTGTAAGGCTGCCAGTTAATTAAAACCTTAATCCAAGATAAACTATAGTCTAATTTGATAAATTTTCCACAATCCAAGGCCCAATGTTTTAGGTAAACAGGCTTTTATATTTTGAGCCATCATTGAAGAAAGCATGCTTGCAGTCGCCTCTCTAAGTCATGCATAGTTTTTCATAAAATCAGCTCAGACTATTATTCTAAGAAGTGGTGAAGTGGGCCTTGTAAAGCAGGTTATGTTCTGGGGCCACTGTGGAGTTTAGTGTAACTTCAGTGACCAGCAGAGATCTGTGTACTTGCTGAGAAACGTTAGCAGTGTTTGATGCTGTTGGCATGTTCCAGTTCAGTTTTATTACTTAGCCCTTTTCCTTGAATCAGGAAAGGCATGAACAGGTACTTCTCATTAACCCTTTCACATGTGTTATTTACTGTTTCCTCTTAGGCAGAAAAGTTTAGCTTTTGTTGTACAATGCTGTATCTCCCATAAAGTTACAGCTGGTTTCCAAAATGTGAAGTAATCGTCTTCTCCAGGTGATGAACATAAAAGTTACTGTGTCAATATGAGTTATGGAGAAGCGTGTCTTTGTAGAGTTCATCCTGCCCCTTCTCAGGCAGATGTGACCCATCCCATTAGCAGTGCATTAGCTTGTGACTGGATATCATTATTTAAAAGAGAAACTCTTGTCTAGAATGTGTGCTCTCTAAAATGACCTAAAAACTAACCTTTAGGGTAGACTTAATAATTTAAACCATTGCCAGATAAAGTTTAGGAATTAATTAGTCCAAAACTTCGACTAATGCCCTGCAGTGCTTAGAGGTTAGTGTTTGTGCATCATAGGTTAGTGTTTGTGCATTTCAGGAGGGAAGGGACTGCTCTAGGTAGGTGCACCAGACGTCTTGGAAATCCTGTTCTGCTCTTTGGCAGGGGGGAGCTGTAGATAGAAACTCTCTGACTTTTCTTGAGTGATCCCAAGTAGACATTCCTTTTGAGGAGGTGCTGTTTAAAGCCAGTTGTCAATAAACAGGGACTCTGGAGAACCTTTATCTGATTGAGGTTTGGTGATGGGGATTATTTTATTTAGTCACCATGACTACCTTTATAATTGACAGTAGGACAGCAGTTACCATAACCATTTCCTCAGACTGAAATAATAGAACTAGCAGAGGCGGCAGATGTGATGGGAAATGGAGCCATTGGGGAAACACTGTTGGACACAAACCTCTGCATCATGGTGGTCTTCCAGTGGTTCTTAAAGTGTGGTTTGGGAAAACCCACTGCCTGGCCACAAGAGTCTCCTCCAGATTTTTGTGGCTAAGTTTCTTAGTATGAAGGATGACGCTTATACTTTGGTGTATCACTAATAGTAATAGTGACAGAAGCAGTGTACCACTAATAGAGCACTTACTTGTACTTAGAAGTTAATAGCATATTTTCTCATTAGATAGCCTAAACAGTCTGAAAAGTAGGTTAAGTCCATATTGAAAATCAAAGGAAGAAGTGCTAACAAGGTAAACTCTTATCCTACATCACAGTGAGTGGTACAGTCCACAGCCATCCACATACTGTCACATACACAGTGAGTGAGTGGTGCAGTCCATAGCCATCTACAGACTCTAATATACACAGTGAGTGGAGAGTCTATAGCCAACCACATACTCTCTGGCCCTTCATGTGTATTGTCAGAGCAGACTTGTAATGATTCATAGATCATAATGTGAGGCATACAGGTGAGCTTGGCTTTGCCTACATGACTGTTGGTGAGTGTTTCACCTGCAGAGCACCATGATTGTCACCCCTATAGTCTACCTTGGACTGTGCTAGGTGTTTACGTAGATAATTTCAGTAATTTAACAATGCCCATGCCATATCCTTATCTGCAATAGAGGGAAACTGAGAGTAAAAGAAGTTTTAGTTACATAGAAGTGGTGGGCTTTTAGCTGAGGTCTGTCTAGCCATGGGCTTACAGTTAGGTGGTTTTTTGTTTATCTGTTTTTTTCTTTTTTCTTCTGTTTCCAAAGCGGAAAATTCAGGAAGCAGAAAGGCATGTCTTATTCTTTTATTCCTGTAGATGTCCATCTTCCTCTGAGTGTGTGGATACTCAGTACCTTGACTCTTGATAAGGTTGACTGTTAGCTATGAATTAGTTGGAAGCCCTTGGCTTTGCTTTAGTTCTGTTAGAGAAGAGGTAGCATTAAAGGGTTTTTAGTAGAACACCAGAACGGCCAGTGAGTGTCCGGGCTCCCTGGCCCTTACGCAATCTTCTCTTTCCCCTTGCACTCCACAGATGAGGCACTTTTGGGACAGCACTGGTGTTTTCCCCTCTCCTCTGTTTTGACAGCTTGCTGACTCCTGAAATACATCCATTCTCAGCTTGGGCGCTGATGAGCACAGAGGAAAAGTGTTCCTTTCTGAACTTTGCCTTCCACATCTAGTCACAAGAAATTGGTTCTATTTTAAGGAAAAATAGACAACTTGGCTTTGTATGGCTAACTCCTGCTGTTCAGAAAAACGGGGTAGTGAGACTCAGCCTGTGGAGAATAGTTCACATTCTTCACTTTCTTAAAGGTTCCTCTCTCCTGGGTGTTCTTGCCACACAGAGGGTTTACAGAGCCTCTAAATTGAGAAGGAACTCCTGGCAAACCTGAGGCTTGTCCTGCCAAGAGGCAGTCACACCCTCCTTCACTATCTAGAGTCCTTGTCAGTGCTGTTTTCAGGGTAGCTCACTGTGCACTGCAAGGCACTTGGTTAGAATGGTTGAGCTTCACTCCCAGAGCTGGGACCCTCACTCCCCAAGGCCTCTCCACCCTGTGCTTCTGCAGACAGATGGCCATTGCTCTTACAATCCAATATGCTCATGCCCTGGATTTGGATTTTTCTTTTCTGCCATTTCAGAGAAGTTTCTCTTTATATTTACCGAGCTGGCCATGGGGAAAATGACTGTGTTGTATCACACCTTTTAATAAACCACATTTCATTCAGGGAAAGTGGAAAGCTTTTTTTTGTGGTTTGCAAACTTGATATTAACATTGTCCTGACTAGAAAATGCTGAAACTTGCCCACCCACCCAGTTATGTTTAGCCTTCTAAAAATAATGTTATTCCTGCATACTCAGACATCTGTTTTCACTCTATTGCCAATTGAAATGCCGCTGTATACTCTGTATATCATGGCTACTTTCCCAGTATTTTGAAATTTTGCTCAGGGTAAGGGGGTTTTACAAGTTCTCTAACACGTGAAATTCTCTTCTACAGTAGCTGTACCACATGATGGCTCATGGCATGGCAGGTATTGCAGGAGGCACCTGTGTGACTGGCTTTATTGCTGCCCAACTCAGATAATAGCCAAATTCCATCTGAGGAGTGAGCACCTTGCTGGGGCCACTACAAAATGCAGGCTACCACCAACAAATAGCAGCTTAGACCAATGCAGTAATTCCTCCAATTTGGGGCCAGCCCTCCCTTTTTAATTACAACCCATTGTTTTTGGCAGTGTTGCCAATAGACTGTGATGAGCATGTCACATGTTGTGTCCCTTTGTTAGCTGGGGGAACAGATTCTACTGATCTACTGTGCTGAGGTGGAATCCAGTGCTCCATCGGTACCACTGGCCAAGGCTGTCACTTGTCTTGGGTCATTTCTGCCACCAAGGGTTGCCAAGCTTGATTGAAAGTCTAGTTTTTGTGAAAACCTGGTTTAGAAGAATTGAAACAAGTTAGGTTGTCGGGCATGTTGGCAGTGTTCTGAGTAGGCACAATCATGGGCAGGTGCTGTGTGTGTGCGTGTGTGGCCTGGAGAGCTAGGAAGAGGTAGCCTCAGGAGTGCCCTTGGTGGCTGTATGGCTGTCAGAGACATCCTGTTGGGTTCTGTACTTACCTTGGATTCAAGAACCTAATTTAATTCAAGATTTAAAACCTTGCCCTAACTGCGTCTTTCCAGAGTGACTCACCAAGGGTCTTCTGAACTTTTAAAATGTCTTAGAAAGTTGGGAACCTTGTGAGCATGGAAAAGCTTGGCCATACCCCGTTTCCTTTTGATGTATACAGAAAATAGGGTATCTATATGGTGGTGCATGTGTGAAGTCTTTCTGCCCCAGCTCTCTGTGGAGTAGATGGGACAGCTCAGCTTTAAGGCTTCGCCCAGGTGTTTGAGGAACTGATTTAGCCTTAGGTGACCATTTGGTGTCATCTTGGCTCTTCTCCCTCATCTGTTTGTTGCATTAAATATAGTTAAACATTGTGGCCAGCTCACCCCATTCTAGAAAATACCATAAGAGCAGTGGGAAAGTGAGTAAGCAGTCCTCTCATTTCCTGTGTTTGCATGACAAGCACTTTTTTTCCTTTAAACTCTCATTGTTATGTAAATGAGCTTTCACTGTTCATTGAAATCCAAAGTAAAGCCTACTTTAAAGCCCAAAGATAGCCATGCAGTTTTAAAACAATGCTTGGTCTACCTAGGGCACTCTGTGCTTTGGGTTCAAGTGGAATCACACACATACTATCAACTCAGTGCCTCAGTAAGGATGTTACCTCAGCATGAGTGACTACTACCCAGAGTCACTGGCTAGGCTAGAAGTAGACTTCTTACTAGCATATCTTGCTTCCTAGGCCAGCATTTCCCTGGAATGGTTAGCATGCTGAGGTGGCCAGGCAGTCTCCAAAAGTGCCTTAATTCTCTAGATGTTTCTAAGCATTGGGTTTACTTAAATGAGTTTTTATGCTCTGGACCCCTTTAAAAGGTTGCTCATAGAGACAAATTGATACCTGTCTTGAGAGATAGTTGTATGGCAGTGGTAGTTTGAGTTAGTTTTCCTGGCTTTGACATTTTACCAGTCACTAGGTAATGTCTGGCCTAGGAAGGAAATCCTGATGGCAGCAGGTGGACACAAGAGCTTTTCTGTTGCTGTTGTGCCCAGAGGTTGGACATGTGCTGTCCTGCTTGTTTCATACTGGCTCTTTGAAGACCCAGGTAGATATTCTCAGGGCCCTTGCTAAGCACAAGGGTCACACATTTGTGACCTTTGTACTGTCACTTGCCCTTTTAAGTACACATGTGCTAATATATGTATCAGTAGCTCCAACTCTCCATATCTTTCTCTGTAAAAATGTGGGCAGTGGCTGGGCAGTTAGTGGTGCACATCCTTGCTCCCAGCACTTGGGAGCCAGAGGCAGGTGGGCCTCTCTGAGTTAAGAGGCCCGCCTGGTATATAAAGCTAGTTTCTGGATAGCCAGGGATACAAAGAGAAGCCCTGTCTTGAAAACAACAACAAAAAACATCCCCCCCAATCCTAACATTTATATCATATTCATTATTAAAGGTCATCTAGAATGGTTTAAAGTATACAGGAAGACATGCCTAGGTTTACAAAAATATTATACCATTTAAATGGGTACTATTCCAATACTTGGGAGGCCGAGGCAAGAAGAACGAGAGTTTAAGGCTAGCCTTGAATACCTAATGAGGAGTACCTTTCAAAACAAAACAAAAGCAGACATACACAGACAAGGAAATCATGTCATGATGTTTTGCATAGTTATGCTATTTTACAACATCCAGACCCATAGATTTTAGTATCTGTGCTGGATTGTAGAACCACTTCCCTATGGATGGATACCCAGGGATTGATCTCACACACGCACACGCACACGCACACGCACGATAGTGTTAGGAAGCTTAGTGTCTGCTGTGGAACATTGAATGAATGTTAGCATTTGAAAGAGTTCAATGCAGTCTTCAGAGTAAGAGGAATGTGGTTTGTTGAGTATCAGGAGAACTGGTAATTGGGCCTTTACTGTGAATAAAGTTGAGATTGATCTTTTTCAATGCAGCGAGCAGTTAGCTTTAGCTACTCAGAAGTCATCTATCAAACTGGACTTGAAGTTGAGTGAGAACAGCTATTGTTCCTGCTGTCTACTGGTTTCACAGCCTAAGAATCCAGACTGCCTAGACTTAGTAGATGCCTTTTCATCTTGGGTAGTCCTTTCTAGCTGCTTCCTGAGGCTAGGCCTTCTGATAGACACCCTCTGCTTCTTCTTTGAAATGGGCCAGGATCCTGTAGCCAGAGTTTGTATCATTTGTTTGGCATGGACACTCCCCTGAATTGTTAGTGATATAATTGTGTTCTGTGCACTCTGCCTAAGAGCTAGGTCTATCCTTTATACCAGTGAATATGTTCCTAGCAGAATTCTGGGCTGATCAGAACTGGATTTGATTTCTAAGTAGTTCAGTTTCTATTTTTGTGGCCTTAGGCAGGTTTAAAACTGTTTATTTATAAAAAGGAAACAATGAGAAAATTGGGGTGTCAGTGGTGTTCTGCTTCTGTAAGCAACACCAGATTGTTAAAACTAACAGAATAGTTGACACAGAAAACCCACCTCTTGACTCCTTTCTCCAGACCATAGAATCAAATTGGCGGTGTGGACGACATAACTTGCAGAGGATCCAGTGCCGCTCTGAAAATAGTAAAGGTGTTTACTGTTTGCAGTACGATGATGACAAAATTATCAGTGGCCTCCGAGACAACTCTATCAAGGTGAGTTACTCAGTCTGTGTGCTATTTTAGAGTGATGCTCGGAGATGAAGTGCTAGTGTGTGGTAATCTCTGCTACTGCAGATAGATTTTTATCTGTTCTCAGTGTCAGCAGCTCTCAAGTTGTTCAAAAGAACCGGAAATGGCATTTCCTGGTCTCATCCCTCTTGCCCCTGACTCTGAGCACATTCATATTTGATGCTCTCTGTTTACTATGTCCCCTCAGATTTCCTTGTCCCAGAGATCAGATCACCATTTCACCCCCCATGCCCAGGAATCCAGGGGTGTTCCCATCTGCCTTCATTCACATAAGGAAGAACCCTTCCTTCCTTCCTTCCTTCCTTCCTTCCTTCCTTCCTTCCTTCCTTCCTTCCTTCCTTCCTTCCTTCCTTC